TTATTTTTGTATTATTTTTAATTCTCAGGCTATATCACAGACAAAATGATCCCTGCCAACTTCTTCCGATCCGGTTGAAGTCCAAATCTTCGAGGCACAAACGAAATGCTCCAATAAAAGAGAGAGAACAAATCCCACAGGATCTAGAAAAAATCCGGGCTACCGACAACAGGGAAGATGATCAAGTCAAAGCGGCTGAAGTAACCGCAATGTTGAACAAGGAAGAGTGGAAGAATAAGAGTTGGACTGAGGTCAGATGGCGGCGTCCCCTGAAGCCAGGGGGCAGACGAATTCGTCGAAGCCATTTGGGTGAGGCAAGAATGATTGCTGCAAGAACGTTGCTGTCTGCCACTGGCAAATCGGAGGAGACCATTTATTGCCTTCAAGTGGATGTCTCAAGCACGATTGCAGAAAAATGTGGTCCAATGGCGATTCCATATTCGGTGAGAGACGTGGGCTTGGTGTTTCAGATGCCAGAAAAGCCAATTTTGTCATATTATCTGTGCTTTTTAGGCCTGAACGCTAAAATAAAGGGTTATTTCAATAGAAAATTATTGAAAATGAGAAAGTTAATAGATCCTGTTTACCTGTTCTCAGGCTCTCTTGGCTTCGTTGCATTGGTATGACCTCGTTTTAGCAACTTGGAAAACGTACGGAGCAAACTCTTTCCTGTTTCCTTTGCAATTGTAGCTAGTATACTTCCCATCACAGAAATGATGACTTTTAACTTTGATGAATTCCAACTCGGTGCTTAGTATGGCACTTCTCGCTAACGACACGGACTGCGATGCCAACGAAACGCCTGGGAAGCTACAACTGCAAAGCATCGGATGCAAGACTGGATACGTTCCACAAGTTTTTGCTTTGATACCGATGAATTGGATATTTCAAGGTCCTTGCGGCTTTGAAATAATCAACCCATATGATCATAAAGTAGAACATGATCCCTTACGACATGATGCAGATAATTATTTGAAGTATCTAATGGCTGTTCGTGCAAAGTGATAAAGGACTAAAATTTTAATTTTTCCATAATGATAGAAGCTGGCCACACACTTCTATCGAGTTTGACAGCGG